CCAGGTTTTTATTGCGAACCGTTAGGAAACAGGTGCGGAGGGAACCGCCGCTGCGGCCCCCTCACAGCTGTACGGCGTTTCGACGTATAAAAACATACAAAAGGGCCCATTCCCCCTCCCATCCCCCTCAGTAAAAAGGCCTTTGGTTCAACAACATCAGAAATTACTGTACAGCCTTAAGCCACACATAAATAAGGCCAATTTCTCATGCAAATGTTACAGTCTGAAGGGACAGCTTGGGCTACAGCCACACTGTAAAGCAGGAGTCAGGACGATGGCTCCCAGCGTGCGGGTGCTACGGATGTGCTCCCAAGGCGATCCCGCAGGCATGGAGGCAGCGCCGGGCGCACAGGGCTTGCTCCGCAGGACAGGGCGCTCCGGAAAACACTTCGCCAGCAGGCTGAAAAAGAGGGATAACATCCCACCTCCCCACGCAGAGTTTCGCCTCCTTCCATAAAACTGAAGGGCATGTTGGCTTCTAAAATGTTAAGAATTCCAGGCCAAATACATTTAAAAAAAAAAAAAAAAAAAAAGTTCACATTACATTGTTGGTGCAGTTTTAAGTATGGCCAAAAGAAAGCACATTTTGTATTGCTATGTACAAGTTTATACTGTACTTGGTAATCCGCCTGGCATAAATACTGAGAACATACATTGCTTGTGTTGCATTGGTCAACTACTGCCAAACTGCATCAGAGGGCAGCTTGCTTAATAAGTATATGAATATTTAGCATGATGACATTTACTCATTAAGATATGAGTATTTAGCATAATGACAAGTCTCTCAGGTAACTTAAAATATAATAATTCAAGAAAATGAACATCCTCTCAACAAGAAAATTCCTACACTGGTTTTAGAACAAGCAGTAACAGTTTTTTTTTTTTTGAATAAAAATAATTTACAACATTAGTTTATCAAGAAAAAAAATGTACATTTTATACCTATATATTTTACAAGATGCTCCAGATCTGCTATGCACTTGTATGGGAGGTATATATTACACAATTATTTGGCTGCATTATAAGGCAATCAGTGAAAAACACTGTCCTACAAGAAACCATTCATAGATGAGAACCAGTTGCATGATTACTTCCAGACAATTCGAAGCCTATCTGACAGCAACCAAACTACGCCATATCATCTTTATTAAAATGTAAAGAAATGTGCTTAAAAGAGAAGGGCGTAAACTTGTATCCTCCACCAGTGTAAAATTTGTTCTGAAATTCCACCCTGAAATGAGACAAAAACAGAACCTACATATTAATCCAAAACAACTATCAAGGGACAGAACTGTACAACACAAGCTGCTAAACAAGACCACTCCTAACCTTGTCCTTTACATTTCCTGTGCAGCTATGTGATCTGACAAGAATGGGCAGATTTGGCGTTTCTCAAGAAACCCAAACAGACAGATACTCTGCTACAAAGGCTCATTCCTCACTTCTGTCTCCTATATTAATTTGTTTTTAAGTTAGCTGCAGCTGTTTTGCAAATTTGCAGCATAATGATCCTAATACTCTATAAGGTATTCAGATCTACCATTATGAATACACATTTGCCTTTGCTAATACTATAAATTCAATCAGGTTTCAAACTAAATACTCACTGAATCAACTCACAAGCAGAACACGCACGATACTAAGATCATGAGGGGATTAAAATAAAATGTGGCTGCCCTTTCTTGTGTAACTGATTTGTTCACTAATACAAATGTTCGATTGAATTAAATGAATAAAATGGACTGGAGTCTTTCAATGGTACAACCAAACACTAATTTTGAAGATTTACCTGAGCTACTAATATTCTGCATTATGGAAATGCAAGATGTTATAAATCATACCATAGTATGAGGTTGTTAATTTACACTTCTATTCTAAAAAAAGACCTTAAAACTGAAGAGTTAAAACTTACCAGTGGAGTCGTACAGCATGGAGAAAAGCAGAAAGCCCCTCCATGACCAAAAGAATAAAAATGGTTAGCACAGCAAAAAACGCTAGAACAGGGACTAGCAGTAAAACGCCATAGGTTGCATCCACACGAAGACCCACTCTCATCACCATTTGCCAGAGAACTTCTGATAACTCTATAAAAAAAAGTTTTCATAGCTAGTTTAGTATTAATGCTAAAGTAATAAAAGGATGGTTTAATAGTAGTGTAATTTTAATTGGCATTAACAATTAGATATAAAAAACTTACGTGCATGAGCCAGACTTAGTGCCCAGAGTCTCAGATATGAGGCTGTATTGGAAATGCATCCTAGACAGTACTCAATGGTATGAATTGCTTGATTCATAAAAACATCTGCAAAATTGAACTAAAATACAAAAATACACTTGTATCATGATATAATATGAAAGAATAAAAACATTTATCTGCAAATATTATACATTCAAGAAAAAAAAATCATGTTAATACATCCGTTTCACAACAACTAAAAACTATCCCAATGAAGCAAGTACTGGACATACACTGAGCATGGGGCAACTCATTTTTGTTTGTTTGTTCTTCAATTAACATAAAATCAGTGGCATTAGTCCTCTGCAAAGATTTATACTGAAATTATATGGAAGCAATAGCTAGGACTAGGAATGCAGCTCGTATCTCCCAATTCCCTCTGGCAAAATGCCTTCTCACAAGATGCAACTTTCAGATATGTGACTTTTTTCTCTAGGTGAAAAAAAACAAGATTCAAGAACAGGAAGCTGTTCAGTTTTGCCCTAGTTTCAAGAATCGGTAAAACCACAAACACAAAAAGAGAAATACCCTACTTCTTTAAGAAAAATTATAGTCTGATCCAAATAAAGCATCTTCCTGTTCTCCACTACAGATACACTATGGTTTACTGTAACAATCTGAACTAATACACTGACTATAAGAAATAATGTTAAAACATTAAATAATTTAAAAAACCATAAATTGCATTCAGTCTTCAAAGTCTTAATAACAGCTCAGTTGACATTCCTGTTCACTCCCAGAGACTCAATACATAGATTACCTTCTTTATTTTTCACCTATAACTGGCTTCTAAAGATATACTAATTAGAGACTAAGTAAAAAAAAAAACATTACCTCTTCTCCATCCCCCTCTCTGTGCCCACTGTCTGAAGGGCTGCTTCCCTCTTCCACATCAGCAGATGTCAGCAGAGAAAGTTCTTCTTCACTTTCTTTTCGAATTAGCTTGTAGCCACCCTACACAAAATGGAAATATATCACGTCTGTTTGCCAAGTGGACTTTACAACTTCAGAGCTACAGGGTATAAAAATTGAAGCGGTCACAGGAAGTAACACTTTCAAGGACAAAAGGACAGACAGATAGAGGAACAATGCGCTATTAGGATTTATGGTTAAAAACCTTCCAAGCTAAGCAGAAATATTTAGTTAGGGGCATTGTTCTGCATGCAAGGCACTGCTGAATTCTTCTAGATTTTTTGAGACACAACATTGCTACCCAGCATAGTCAGTTACATTTGCTTCCAAAGCTTCACTTTCAAGAACAGAAATTAACATTAACTCATCTATAAGTAATCAAATAAATGGCCTATTGAGCCACTATGAGGACTCTACATGCTAATTTTCCTCAAAAATATTTCCACATTATTCCTAGGCTTCACTACCATTGCCAGTAATGACAGCCTGAAAAGTGCCCAATATTGTAAATATTCCCATAGCTAGTCAAACATGTAAGTTGGCCAATAAAGCACCACTGTCATCTAAAAAGGAGATGTTTAAATAAATGCCATTCCGTACTTACCCTGTACCTTCTGATGCCCTGGCGTCCATTGTGCAACCAATATAAGTAAAGTGGTTTTCCAAAAAGCATTACAGGAACAGAAAGTAAAGCAAGACTAAGTAAAAACTTCTGTAAAACAACCTGTTTGTGAACGGGAAAGAAAGAAAATTGGATCAAACGATCAAATCAACAGTTTAAAAAAGACTTTTTTTGTAACTTGTTACAACACTACTAACCTGTCCAGTATAAAAGACCTCTGTTTCACTCCCAGGAAATAGGAACATGTTAATAAACTGAATCAAAATGCTCGGAGCAGATGTAGAGTCCTGTGCAGTGTAAGCTAGCCACTTAAAGAAGATCATAAACACAAGGTAGCCGAAGATGCACATCATGAAGACTAGTTCAGGAAGAAAAACCAAGTAAATATTATATTTCTTCTTAAAATGCCTAAAAGATAAAAAAGAAAAAAAAAAAGAGAGAGAGAGAGAATGACATAAAAGCTTTACAAAGCATCATCAATGTAAATACAGGGCCCAAGTATTGAAGGTGCTTAAGTCATTTCAGTAAAATATAAGAGTGCCTGACACTTTTAAAGAGCAAGACTGAAGTTAGAATCCAGAACCAGAACAGATTCCTTCATATTCAAAGAAATTTTAAATCAGATATTTCAGTGGAAATCAAGACCACAGTGAAATAAAATCTGTTATTAATCAATGGCTTCAGATTATTTGGCCTAACACTGACTATTCTTCCTATTTACAGGAAGGCAGGCCTCTCCATTACTGTCATTTTGAAGAACAGCATCCAGTTTTTTATGCAGATGAACTTTTATTTAGAAAGAATTGACACAAATTATGTTATTCTCTTAGCTTCTCGTACTTACAAGTGGTTAAAGACCCCCAGTACAACTCCAAATGTCATATGTGTCACTCCAAAAATCACAGACATTTTCATTTTGAAAGAGTTTAGAAAACTGAGACGGTTGCTTGCCAAATTCCAGATCTGAAGAAGAAATAAAGACAAAACAAGCAACTCAGAAGAGCATAGTACAAGAATTAAAACACTACTCTTCCTCTATTAGGAGGCCATAATTCTTCCCAAAAAAATGACTTTCAAGAAATTAATCTTTTTTTGACTCATTAAAGAATAAGCTCTTTTTGAATGAATAAAGAAGCAGCAGATGTATTTGTCATAGCATGCATGTCTTCATAACACATATACTAAAAAAAAAGTCTGAATTATGGATAACTGATCAACAGAAAAAGATAACTTAAAAAATGAAACTAACCGGATCAATACCAAAGGGATAAGCTCCATTGTACACACCAGTAACATTTGGATCCAATGTTAAAAACTGATTAGACTTCAGATCTTCAAGGCTGCAGGGGAAAGAAAATAAATTTATTTATTTATATGTATATATATTATATTATAGTATATATAATATGTAATATAGTTATATATTATATATAATATATATGTATCTCAAATCAAATCTGAAAGTACTTTGACAAGGTGACAATATATAATTTCAGTTCTGCAGGATGCTACTCCTGCTTTCCTTTATCAGAAGGATTAAAATAACTAGCATATCCAAGGGAAGAGATCAAAAGGACTTCTAAGTACCACAGAGGTACCGGGCTTTGCACTAGTGACTAGTAAAAGGAAAGCTTTTAGATTTTATTTACTATTCCCCTTGAGCATAAGGTTCCACTTAAAAAGCTCACAATCTGCTTTTATATAAATTTCTACTACCCAAAGGATTTTTTTCCCCATTTGGATGAGCTTCCACTAAAACTTCAAATAGTTTTTCATTAGCACATCTCTCAAACTTTTCACATTTGAACCCATGTCAGAATTTTTCATCTTACTGTTTCAAACCACTTCCTGTTTTTGAGGTAAAATGAAACACAAGCTGTAAATATTTAAATACCAAAGAGCTATGAAACCTTAACATAAAAAGGATTTTTTTGTTTTTGTTTTGCTCTAAAAAAAAGCTGGGTATAGATTAATGCTTGCTAGGTAATTAATTAATTAATTGATAAGAATTTTACAGCAGAGGATCATGCTTTTGGGCTGCAAGTTCCAAAAGCATTAACTAGGACTAATTTCTCCAAGACTAGTCTTGTGTTTTTAATTCTCTCAAAATCTTTGACATTCAATATTTACTGCAGTACAATTGTAAAAAGCACTTTAAAAAGTGCTTTAAAAAAATACAAGATGACAGTAATGCTATTTTAAAAGAAAAATGCAAGCTGACAATAAACATCCTGAGCTAATAATGTTGGGCTGAAACTTGGTTACATTGAGGAGACTGGACTGCAATGTATCTTCAGAAACTTCTCTTGGGAGATACAGTAATTGGAGACAAACTAGGACCATTAGCATAAAGACAAGCATTAACGAAGGAGGTAGTGTACTCTCTAGAGCAAAAAGGATACTCCATAAAACAGAACCCTTTCCTCATAAAGCAACACTGATAAATAAATTATTAGCTTGGCTGACAATTAAATCTAATCAAATTCTAATAATGTTGAGTGAAATTGTCTTTTCTGTAGACTTTCTAATTTAGGATAATAAGCAATTTAATTTTGTTTCTAAATAGTCTGTTACTGCCTTCTTTAACTGTAGATGCATCAATTAGCCCCCATCCCACTAGTATCTACTAGTTTAAGAATAAGACTCGGTAGATTTAACTGCATTTACTAACTGCTGTCAATAAAAGGACAGCTAGACTGGGTAGGTGAAGGGTTAAAACCATTCCGGGAAGTACATTTGTTTCAGTGATACAGCAAACATCGGTATACAACTCACCGCCAAACCTTTTGTTCAAACATTGCTGAAACATTCCATCCAGAACCAAATATATTTAATGACTTTGAAAAACAGTCATTGTAGATCAAGCCGGTGTATACAGAAAACAGACCCATCAATAAAATAACGTATCGTCCTTCAAAAAATGTTTTCAATATCTGCAAATTTTTTAAAAAGAAAGTATCATCTACTGTGTCAGTGATCATTTGCAGCTATGCTTAACTAAATATATTTTTAGTGATGGATGCAGGTCTCCCTGCATTCAAGTCCATACCATAATAAAAAGTTAAGTTAAATTAATTTCAAACTACAACTCCTTTTCAGAAAACAATAAAAGGAAATACAATTTGAAAAAACATTTTGTCCTCAAGTCAGTCACTGTAACCACATTCCATAAAACACACAAATCAAGTATGCCTAGCAGAAGGCAAGCCTACCAATATTAATTAATTTTTGCCTTTCATTCCAGTTTGATATTTTAATCCCTTTGAATAAAAATATGCATTATTTGTTAAAGATACTGCATTAGTCTTGAAACAGCGTATGTCAATTTAAAGCACAGGAATTCTGAGACAAAGAAGTCCAATAGATATAAATAGAACAACAGTTTCCAGAAACATAGCAACCATTCAGCTGAAGTTATCTTGCTGGACGGGAACCGAGTTACTTGTAACTCCTTTTACCTCATCTTGTGATCTTTGTAATCGAGGGTGGTTTTCATAGAGTATTGTCAGGAGTGCAAAGATGAACATTAGTAGACCATGCCCAAAGTCTCCAAACATAACAGCAAACAGGAAGGGAAAAGTGATGATGGTATAGAGAGCTGCAATGGCAACAAAACAGATTTCAGGAAACTCAGCTCAGCCATCTGCTCAGTTTTACCATTCGGTCTTTCAATTGGTCTGAAAAGCCTGAAATCAGGCATGCCCCCACTAACAAGAGTGCTGTGAATTGCACTTGCTTTAAATCTTGCTTATGTACATCCACTAATAATGACACTGCCACAGGTGAGCATTAGTTGTGAACTCTGAGGATAGAATCATATAGAATGACACGATACTGTCATAGTCAAGGTAGTTATAAACTATAAATAAGGGCATTAAACTATTTGGCCTACACAACAAGCTGGATTTTTTTCAAGTGATGAGCTCCTCATTTAAGTAAGAACAGTAACAATTACCAGAGGTTTTGTTTTTGTGGAAACACCTTTCCAAAGAAAAACATCATATAAAGGAACTTTACACAACTACTAGCGATATTTTTAAATCTTGAAATAACTCCAAAAAAAAATTCCATCTTACTGCTCAGAGCATAGTTTGTACTGTTGATGAGCCACTGATATTTAAAGGGTTTTGTTTTTGTGGAAACACCTTTCCAAAGAAAAACATCATATAAAGGAACTTTACACAACTACTAGCGATATTTTTAAATCTTGAAATAACTCCAAAAAAAAATTCCATCTTACTGCTCAGAGCATAGTTTGTACTGTTGATGAGCCACTGATATTTAAAGACTTAGTTACTCATAAGCACGTGTGGGTATCAACATTTTCCTCTGGCCACAATCCAGTTCAGCAAGGTATTTAAATATAAAACCTTCTATTAAGTCAAGCAGCAATGGCAGTACAGCTCATAGTTCAGCTGTCAGAGGACCAACCTGGATTAACTTCCCCATAGTTTCCAACTCCATATGCATCAACAATGTTTTGGAACCCTGAGGTGAATTTGTTGGTACGTATCAAAGTCGGAGGAGTTTGTGTCGTAGGGATCGTGTTCATGAATGAAGAAATCGCAGCTCCACTCTTCCTCTAGTTAGACAGAAAAGGAGTAGACATTAACATGAAAATCCAGTTGATGTTTAATCTGATGAATATGAAAATATTTCCCTTTATTATCATTTTCACTGACCTTGAAACTTCCCCATAATAAATGTCAAGTTTAACATTTATCACTCTGTCTGTTCTTTAGAGAATAATACTAACTTACACTTTTCCTCTAAAAAGGCTGCGTACAATAATCCTTACATTATATGAAACATTAGACAAGAACCATAAAAACAAAGATTCCCTACTAAAAATTTCCTCTTAAAAAGTAAAAAGACTGAGTGGCATTCAATGCAAGAAATACAAGGGAATAAGCACCTTTTACTTGACTGCAAACAGCACTGTCAGTCCCATGAGACTTGCATCCAACACAGGAGTTCCTATTCAAGAAAACCCCTGATCAAAACTAAAGGTTCTGTTTATAAGGAAATACTAGTACACAGAGACCCAGACCTGTTCATGCTTGCTTTTACTCTATTTTAAATAACTATTTTTTTCCTTATTTCTATTGCTTGTTCAAGACAAAAAAAAAAATTTAACATCAGCGAGCGTCCAACTGACTTACTGATCCTTCCTCCAGCGCATGGCGCAAGTTTTGCAGATCAGCCACGGGACACCAAACCTCAGCAATTAAGCATTTATTTGTGACATCAAAACTGCACAGGTTGAGTACATGATAAATGGCTTTCATCTTCTTCACTTGGATAACCCAAGTATAGATGGATTCAGATGCTTTACATAATACTTGGCGTAAGTAATCCTCAGTTTTATGCAGCACCTTTGTGCAAGGAGAAAAAAAAGAACTGAAAATGTAGCATACTACATGTTAAACACAAGAAAAGCAATTAGCATTCATCCTGTGGTGGGTCACATATCTAAGGAGGCCACACTAATAGCTGCCTAAAAGAGAAGGCAACAAGTGCACTCAAGTATCATAAACAGATGCAATCTAAGAACAGGGACATGTACATAGTCAAGTTCAGCTCTAAAGCCCTAAGTATTTTAAAAGCATATTAATGTGTTTAATATTGTGATATCTTGAGCAATTTTCTGCAGTGCAGTAACAGCAGCTAAAGGGATAATATTGTAATTTACTCACAGTATGAAGATCCTGAATACGAACATTTAGTCCTTCAACAACTGCAGTGCGCTCCTCTGTGGTATTTGGATAGGGATAGACATGACAGTGATAGCTACAGAAATATAGAAGTTTGTATTAAACAACCAAATTACCAAAACAACAAGACACCCATGGTCAAATTTGCAACACATCATCTAATAACCATGGAATAGATTCAATTGAGAGAGTTGCTGTTCTGCCTATAAGGACTGCAGATAAAATGACTCATGCATTTGTATTTGTACATTACATAATCATAAGACTAGGTGCAAGCGGGGGGGCGGGGAGGGAGAGAGACACACAAATTAACTTGAAAAACTTCCTTTAAAGTCAACATTTCCAGGGAAGAGGAGTAGGATGGAAATAATCAAATAAGAATAAAGCGCAAGTACAAAGAAATTAGTACATTAGTCTTACTTCTTACCAGTCACATATCTTCTTAACTTTCTGGCCAATTTGTTCACCCCAATAGGACACTAAAAAAACAAACCATTTTGTGGTTTCACCCTAAAAAAAAAAATTTTTTAAAAAAGGTCAAATTTATAAGTTCACAGAAAAATCTTCACGGAAAACTCACTCCATTACAGACATTTTTCCTTAACTACTGAATGAGCAAACAAAATGACTATTAAAATGTATGCCGCTATACAGACCTAGTTAATAAACATCCAAACAGCCATTTATGATACCTATTTTGATCAAGATTGCTAGTCATAAAGTTATTACTAGCCCACAATAAAGTTTAGCACTCACAAACATGAGCCATAAAAAATTAATGACTATAGGCATAGCAAGTAAGGGGAAGAACTACCATTTTTTAAAGGCTTCACACTTCCCTTTAAGAATTCCTTGCAAACATGACCAGACATTTTTCCAGGTTGTACAAGGAGTTTTAGTATTAGTACTACTGATAAACTGAAAGTTACAACGTTTACTCACTGTATCTGGATCTTCCAGACATTCATCCAGCTCTGCACATGTAAGAATAGTATATCCTTTACAGACTCTCCACAACATTTTTTCAAATGCTTCAATTTTTGCTCGGTGAACTAACCCAGATATGAACCTAGGGAAAAAGACAAATTTGAAAAATAAGTCAAAATCTACAAGAAAAGTTAGAATCTAATAGTACATCATCACTAATGATCCCTTAGTCACATTAATTTAACATCTGCATCTCCGGAGAAAGAAACATCTCTCTAAGCTGGAACTTATTGGTATATAAAATAAACACAACAGTTTCTTGTTAGCCAGAGCACACAACTAGAACTACATCTGACAATAATCCTTCTTGTGTTAGTAAGGTCATTAGTACTTTGGCACATTTTGTCTCACATACATGCTTTGTTTCATGAAATTGTAGTTACAGGAGGTTTTGGTGCAATTCTACTCATTTCCTTAACGTTTACAAAAAATGCCGTTTTGTCACAGATACCTTTGGGCCGGATTCTCAGCCAGTATAAAATGCTTTGGCTCATCTGAAATCACTGGAATTTCATCATATCGTATCACTTGAATGGAGTTGTCCATTATCCAAGACAACTCACAAGCAGTTTTGAAACAGTGCATCAAGTCACCTTGCCCTGCCCAGACTGAACCTACCCCAGCTTGGCACCCAGTCTGTGCATACAGTTGTAATCCACTAAAGGCTCATTTTCCACAGATGGGAATTCTTCGTAATTAGCATGCAAACAGGATTCATACTAGCAAATGAAAAGAAAGATCATCTTAATTAGGTTTTCTTCTTTAGGATAACAATTTCACTAAAAAAATCATTTTTTTCTAACAATTAATTAGATTATCGAAATAAAAATACGGAACCATGTCCTGTGTGCAATTCGGGAAATAGGGAGAATTTGAAAACTCAAGTGTACCACCCTCAGCAATTATACAAACTATTGCAAAAGACGTGATAAATTTCTCAGCATAATTTGTGCATGAAAACACAAATCATTCCTCATTAAATGATTCAACAGAAATTAAAATTCCTTAGTTCAAGGCTATGTTTTGATATGTATGCACATACACACACACACACGTACAGCCTAGCACAAGAGATTGTCATTTCAGCACTGGGATCTCTCAGCATTGAGTACAAATAATAATGAAAGGTAAGGTAAAGCCCTACACTAGCCCATGCACTTAAGTAGAACATTAACAGAATACAACAAGAATATGACGTAGGAACATAATCCTAGTCGTATGACATCTGCAGTACCTCAGATGTTCTCCTGACAAACGTTTGCGTGACCTCCAACATACATGTGTATTCTGTCAGTTCCAGAAGGTTTTTCCTCAACTTTTCTTTGTTTTTATTTACTTCTCTCAATTCTGTCTCCAGTTTATGCAACTGTTCCTAGGACATGGAAAAATAAAAGGCACAGAATCAGTTACACTGCTCTGGAAATTGTGGGAGAACAAAATTTAAGCACAAGTTAATTTGCCTCAGCAATGGAAAAATTTCCCACATTTTAATTAACTTAAGCACCACTGGTTGGATTCCTCGGCCTGCCAAAGACCGCTTTGTATTTAGTAAACTTGATCCTCCACTGGCATGCACCAAATCCGCTAGCCTGATCCTAATTTGCATCTGAGCTAAGTAAAACAAACTTGGAAATAGAGCTTGGAATAATACAGGCTGCAAAACAATCACTATTGAGAGAATTACAGCAACGTGAAGTGTCTTTCAAAATTATATTTAGGGAAATCTTAACAAAATAACACTATGCTTTGCTATGCAACCAGCATTGGAACCTGCATAGCCTTGGGCATGTAGAACTGCCATCACGCAGGAAAATACTGGATGTAGAAAAATGGTCTTAAGTAAATTCCAAAGCAACCAACAAGGCTGAAAATGCCTTTATGTCTGGAAAAAGTCAAAAAAAGCCGGAAAAAAAAGAGATGACTACAAACCACATGAGTTAGCTTTTACCCTTCATGGGGATTGTATGTCAATACTAAATGTTCACTGTAGTCTTTGAAATAACATTGGGCAGAAAGAAAAGAAGCAGACGAAAGGAAAGCAGAGGCTTTTTTTTTTTCCTCCTCTTTCTTCAAACCCCATGTAAGTCAAGTCACAAATGACAACAAGTTGTTAAGTTTGAAATACATTTCTAAAGGCTAGTGCTACATTTTTGGCATCAGTGGTGTCAAAAAGTTACCTGGATTTCTAAAATGTGTTTCAGTAAGGGGGCAGGAGGGGCAACATCTCCTTCAGGAAGAGGAATATCTGCCTTCTTAATTTCTTGTACTAGATATCCTGGAGTAAGAAGAAAAATAGATTTAGAAAGGAAACTGCATTGCATTATACTTCCTCAAATGCTGTGTATTTGATCTCCAGGTATGATGAAGGCTACAGCATCAGACCTGGATATTTATTTATTTAGACAACAACACATCCTGAATGTTCAAAAAGAATAAAGGAGTAGGGGGAAAGACAGTCCTCCAGACAAAAAGAGAGGGAAAAAAAAAAAAAAGAGGGGCTTATAGCGTGCTAGGAATACAATGCAAAGAGCATTTTTCTCTTGGAAGCGGGGAGAAGTAAGACACCTTCCAAGTTCCCTGACTGAAATTTTCCAACCGCAAGTACTTTAAGAAGCTTTTAACATCTAATAGCGTCTCTTTGTTGCAGCAAGATGCCACTTTCTGCAAATCATGCTATCTGGCAAAAACTGCCATTCTGTTCATTGACCCATGCCTGAAATAAAAAGTGGTCAAACAAGGAGGCTTAAGCAACCCTGACAACAAATGCAACTCACGCTGAGCAATGAGATTGCCAAGATAGCTCTTGGGGTGATGTGGCATGACCAGCACACGCTCACCACAAGAGATTTCAATAATGAGTTTCCTTCAGTGGTAACTTTTCCTGAGGTCACACAGAACTATTCTGCATCTTGGTTTTAATGCTCTATATAATGTCACAACTACTGTGTGAATACAATCATGAATAACTTGCTGAATTACACAACAACAATGATCGCGCTCCTATAACTAAAGGAACACTCAGAGTAAAAGTTGTCCATGTAAATAAAACTCACCAAGTATTCTTTCCATCTCTTCACATTTCTTTACTTCGTTCACAAATTTTCTCTGAAATACACTTACATTTGGGTTGAGCTGTAGGAAAGCACAAAATGTTTATTGGGTGTTCAAAACAGCAGACAACTCTATGGAAGGTAGCTGTTTTGGTGCCTTCGTGGTGCTAATTTTTCACATATCATACACAGCAACACTTGACAAACCAAACCACCTCTACACTAAAGAGTTTGAAAACTTACAGTATTTGTCTGTTTCAAACAGATGTGTGTCTGTGCTTTTCAAGCTAGGAGTTATTAAAAAAAAAAGAAAAAAAAATCTTTGAAGAGCAGGGTTTTACTAAAGCCTTTTACCATTTTATTCAAATAACAAAATAACCAGGTCTACTCCTGAAATCACTCCAGATCTATTTCTATAGCTTTGGAAGACTTCTTCAGACTTCGAAATAATAAATACAAACTTATTTTACTGATTTCCAGAGCATCTATTTGAAACGTTATCTGTAAAAGGTCCAAGGTCCTTTTTTTTTTTCTTTTTAAGCACGCTTTTCTCCTTTTATGGGTGTGTAATGCCTCTGACTACACATCTACAATCAGAATCAGTAAGGCATGGATTTTGTGATAAAAAGGCATGTCAGATACCTTGAATGGCATCAGTTGCCTTTAAACATAATGCTCACTTTCTCCATCTTTGCTCTCAAAGCTTTTGCAACCTACGTTTCCGAAGAACACCTGGAAGAAATGCCAATGCTTCACTTGGCAAGCAGGGATCATGTAATTAGGACAAGGGGAAGCAGAAACAAACTTAATTGCTACCCAGCCCCTTTCACATTAGTCAGACACTCGGTATCCTCGGAGGTGAATGGCATCCTCCAGGAGGAGACATGTTTTATAAATGGGCAGTACGAGCTACAGCAGAGACGGGGCTGCGGAGTGGGGAGATGTAACCCCGGGGTGGGTTGACCTACTAGCCGGGTACAGGGGATCAAAGTGGGCCCTGGGAAATGGGTGTCTTCTCCACCGGATCCCGCTGTAAAAAGGCACAAATTCGGCCCCCAATTTGTGGCCCGGGGTGGAGGGTAAACTTCGCCCCGCCGCGGCCTCCCCGCGCCCCCTCAGCCGCCCGGTACTCACGTCGCGGAACTCGGCCAGGCCGCGCTCGCCCACCTCGCTGAGGCACTCGTAGGCCGAGCCGCTCTGGGCCCGCCCCGGGGCGGTGGCGCGGAAGGGCCCGGCCCTTCCCATTGGGAACAGTCATCGGAATAATATAACTCTGTACGTGGAGTGTTCACTTTGTGTATTTTTAAATATTTTATATAAAACGCCCGTAAAAATCCAGGAAGATTCATCCATCAATTTCACTCCCTCCCGCCCACAAAATTGTGTATTAAAATACAAATAAGAGCACTGGTCGGCTTTGCGGCAGTGGTTTTAAAGCAAGCTGTTCTCCCACACTTTCTGGAACCAAGGGCTACTCGTAACCGCCACAAGTAAGACGACAAATGCCACTGCCAGGGTCTTGGCAAGACACTGCGGATATGGTTCTCCTGGAGGAAAATAAAAGAAAGTAGAAATTTCAGTTTCCTAAGTCCAAAGCATTCTTTCAGGCTTCGAATAAATATGGGTCAGTAGATGGCATTCCACACTGCCTGCTATTTTTACCTGTGTAAAACCGTGTCAATGGATAGAAAAGTTGCGGCCAGCAAACATCATTTCGATCGCAGTCGAATTCTGTATAATTAATCTGAAATCTGAAAAACAGGAGAGGGGTCGAAGCTATTTACAACTTCAGTACTACCACAACACCAACACAGGTACAACACAGTGTGGAAAAGGGGCCAAGTTACAAAAAGAACTACAACCTCCTGGCTATTCTGACTTTTTATCTGAAACAAGGGGATCCTTCACTCTATTTCTATCATTTTTAGCCAAATGTTTCTTTTTATGATCAAGACATTTTCAGGCAGTGGATATTTTGGGGACCTCACCCAACACCCTTTATCCACTTGAGTAAACAGCACAGAATCTTTTCTGCCAAAAGACAAATGACAAATTTCCAAGGTAATTTACAGTCCTTATGGTCTGTATACCCTTGGGAGAGACTGTTCCTGAAAGAAGAACTGTTGTTCAAGACATTCTAGAATGAGGCCTTCTTGCTCTGCACTCCACAAACCAAACCTGCCCTTTGATCACAGCTATTTGCATTGCATCTACATGAGCTATCAATTTATTTATCAAAATTACCTTGTTAGTGGAATGGGTGGCTGAGCTGGCACTTTAATAAACTGAACAGAAGCAGTGATGGGAAGAAAGTCCACGTTTTCACAAGTGAGTCCACACTGGAATTGCCATATGACTGTTGAATAACTGTCAGAACATACACAACTATTACCAGAGGCCTGAACGTAACCTCAAGGTCATGTACATGTCATGTACTAAATCAGATACAGAATTTAGGGAGGCTGCTGATGTTTTTCGATTTACAACACCATTCAGAGAACATGTAAAGGCTGAAAGTGAGGTATAGAGAATAAAATGTCACAAATTTGTCTGGAATTGACTGAAGGAAAAAAAAAAACACAACAAAAAAGCAGTGTTTGCAATATGAAACTTCCCTGATTCATCTGATTCAAAAAAGAATAAAGCATTTATCACAGCACTAAAAAGGAAGCCCTGCACTGCGGTAAGAGAACACAGGACTATCATGTGACAAAAAGTTAAAGCATACTTCTGATGAAATGCCTGTTACCTGTAGCATCAATCAAAAAGATCTTTTTTTTTTAATAATTTATTGAAATGGAAAAACTATCTGCTGGCCACCATTAATACTCTTTAAATTTACAGTTCAGATAAGCAAATATAATTTTAAACTTCTAACTGTATTCAGAATAATTTGGGTTGCAAACAAAAAAGGCATAATAAAACAGAAATAACATTTTTCGCTTGTAAAACATAACCTGCATTTGTTAGGTAAGCACGTTTCAAAATTAAGCATTCATCTATCAGATAGAGCCAAGACATAACTTATACCTGATTTGCACAGCAAGTATCTCTTGCTGGGGAATCCCTTGTACTGCACCCACAGTAGCAAAGATTATGCGAATATTTAGATTTGCAGGAATATCTGAGCAAATGCCTTTCAAGTTTCCAGCACTCACATTGGTATCAGAATTATATGGATCTAGACCTGTGGAGAAAGAGAGGTGCTCATGTGGAAATATTATGGAAATACTGATACATGTCACAAGGGAACACATTCATCTGTATAAAGTACCCGTAAAGAAAACCAATACTTTTTCAATAGAAAACTAAAATACCAAGTCATGAATACGGACTAGAAGTGGAATACATCTTACTGTACTATCTGTACATATTAAGAGATATGTACCCATGGATGTGTACCTGTATGGATGCATGGATCCATACACACAATTCAGGACCTTTAAGTACTTAAAATAAGTGTCTGGTTTTATGCTGAGATACTCCAATCGTACTACGATAAAGACATACAATTTAGACTATAAATTACAAAACAAACCTCACTTACGTATTATTTCCACCCAGTCATTTAGGTTACCGTAACTTGAGTTGCTCCTCTTTCCAACATGAGTAGCTTGTACTAATGAATTCAATTTATCAGTTACATTTCCTCTGCAAAGTAAGAAAAATAAAGCTGTAGCTACCACTCTGGGTTACAATAATATTGCATTTTAAGGTCTTTTCCCATTAAAGATGTTCTTACACTCAGCATATATAAACTTTAACTATTGAGCTGCATAGCTCAATAGCAAAGCTTTGCACTCCAACATAATCCATATCCAGTACAGGGAGATCTGAGTGCAAGCACTATTATAATTAAAAACAAACAAACAAAATGGGAACCACAGAAAGCCAAAATGCAAATTTGAAAAGAATATAAGTGTTGATAGCCACAACTTCTAGAGAATCCCTTAATGAAAAAAAAAGAATACAGAGGAAAAAAAAATCAGCATGTGTAGCTCACCTTAAAAGGTTGCAATCTTCATTAACACCAACTTCTAGCATGCACCCAGAAAGGGAATCTAATCCAAACAAAACTGGTGTATAAGCTGATGATATACATAAACCTCCGAGAGCTATGAATAGAAAACATATATTTGAGATTTCTTGTATCAGCCTTTGTTCTATATTCTACCACAGAGCTATTAATTAAAACATATATCACAAACCTGAATAAAATAGTTACGTTAATCTGCGAGAAGTGAGCTAAAATGACACTGAAATCAAATCTTTCCAGTTACTTTTTTTTTTTTCCACTTGGAGACACAATTCCCTTCTGTTCTCAGCTTGGAAGGTTTTGCCCAAAGCCAGTGTGTTTATTTAACACTAAAATGGGTGAATTAATCCAAAGTTTTGGTACCCCTAAGAGTAAATACAGCCTAATGAAATTAAAATGAGAGTGAAAGTCAAGAGAACTTAGTTGTCTTCCAAGCTCTAACTCTGTTTCACAGCCTAAGTCACTTTTCTTCCCCAACAAGGATTCTCAACTCCAGAGCAGAGGCATTATCAGTTCCTTTTTGCCATATGTTTGGAGATTTAAAAAACTTTATATTTATTCACGTAGCTACATCTCACTTACTAACTGAAACTTGAATAAAAACTAGTCTAGAAAGGCAAGAGAGATTTTGAAGTAAAATTTTGTTTAAAGAAAAGAGCATTTTAGCATAAACTGTTGTTGATGTCATGTCAGAAGTCACTACCTGGCCACCAAAGTTTTAGGCTGCCGAAAGCATCAGAAGCATTCAGATTTGCAGCTCTCAATGGCTTTCCAACTTGATAACCTGAACATAGAAAGCATGAACATAATTTTTAATAATAATTATGTCTCAAGGTTAACATACAGATGTTTTCATTACAGCAAGAATGCGTTCATTTTAAATAATTAGTAACTACACAATAAAAACTTAAGAATCAATCATCACTATTAAAAGCAGCAGCTCACTAAGACATGAAAATCGGGGCTGGCAACATAAAGAAGTATGAAAGAGGTATAAAACAAATATCAATGCAATAGCTTTTTTTTTCCTTTTCACTTTTCCAAAGCAAAATAAATAGCAATACCTGGATTCCCAAACGACTCTGTTTCATTAGTATTATTCAAGCTTACAAATTTGACTGTGAATCTCTGTGTCAGTATTTCTGGCAAAAGAAAAAAAAAAAGATGACCTTATTCAGTAAAATAGCAAAAAGATGCTGTTTAACTACATATAGCATAAAACTTCCAGCCTTTATTAGTAACAGGAGTTAATTAGTAAAAAATAATGGAAAACTGCCCAATAAATTTACTTTGCAGAGTCCATGGAAAATTAGATTGTAAGAAATATTGCTGAATAAGATACTCTATCACAAAATTTCCAAGATGGACAAAAACAGAAATAAGTCAAAAATCTGTGAAAGAAGTGTCACAATACCTCCATCACATAAACTTCCAAGGAAGACAGTGACATTTATTTCCTTTATGTTCTTGCCTTTCCAAATGAACTTATAATGTTCTGCAAAGGTCACATTTTTACATGCGACTTCAGTGGTAGGAGGACTTTCTGTCAGGGGAAAAAGGAAAAGGCCACAATAAAAAAAAAATGTATTTAGAAAGCTATGTTATTAAAACTGAAAAACAATTTTTAAAAATATAACAAAATTCTGGAAACAGCTCAATCCTCTAGTGCAAAACGTCACCTACTTACACAAGGTCTGCCCATCAGTAATTTTACTGTTGCCATCAATATTATTTATATTTTCTTTTGAAAAAAATATGCTTTTGATGCAAGCTAAGGGATCTGATTTGTTAATCAGCTTTAATAGAAGTTGAGTTGAATTAAATACTTTCTGCTTCTCAGTAGGCCAAACAATTTACTCCTTGAGCATCTGCTAACACAGGAGATCCCTCCAAAGAACTACAGCTGGTAAACATCTTAGGCATCAAAATCATCTATTTCTTACATTTTTCATGGTAGAAAGAACACATTTATCAAATGGAAGGCACATACCACTTCTAGTAATGAACTTGTCTATGTCAGTGATGGTCCCAAAGATCACATTCTGTTGGATGAAGTCTGAGAACAAAACACAAACGTAGCAGTAATTCTGGCTAACAAAAGAGACAGACACATACTATTTCCACATATATTGCTGTTGTTATGAAAATGGATTAGAAAATAGTACATTAGGAAACTGTACTTAGTTATGCTCTAATTACAGCTGTGTCCTCCAGATACAAAAGTAGTATAGATGAACAAAATTAGCTAACTTAAATAGGCACTTTTCATGCTGGTAATTACATTATCTCAAACTCAGAAATTACACTCTTCAAGTATGTAATTTTTGTAATGCAGAAAATAACTTCTTCTCACTAAAATTCTCACTAAATCTAAAATGATGATCTCACATGCTCTTGACTGAAAAAGAGCACTGCAACAGTTCAAAAATAGATGCTCTATTCTGTCACCTATCCCACTGTTCCTTATAAACTAAATGCTGGTTAACAGCAGTTGGAGACTTCAAAGAGGGTCTTGGAATCTGGACTAGAGCATTACCAAATACTGAACGACAGCCAACAGAGAGATATTATGTAACTGCCACATCAACAGCCTTCTTTTTTTGTTTCTTTTCTATCAGCTTTGAGAAACATTGACACATTTCTGCTCAGGTTTCTGCAACCTACCTCCAGTGCCACTGTTGACCCTCACATCATGCGGCAGTCCTTCCCTGTAAGATGCTAGGTGGGTAAGACATCTCACATCGAAGTCCTGCAGAAACGCAACTGGAGCATTCCCGACACATTGCCCAGCCATGGATTGCTGCAGGCAGGTGAACAAAAATAAATATGATGCACCTTTTCCTAGCTCTTTGGGTTTCACTTTAAGATTATTTGTCAGAGAAATGCTCAGAGTATATACTCCAGCAATGTATGATACTAACAAAATGAGCAATCTATCATCAAAATACTTTCTTCTGCAGTAAAAGAGAAATTCAGATTTTAAAAGCACAGCTTTCAAAAAAATGCAGTATACAGTATGGCTTCAGGCTTACTTGTCCACTAACTGTAACCAATGACTCTTTTTAAAATGCAAAAGGAAACTGAAAGAGCACGGCCAGAGGATGAAGGGCCAAAGAGAAAGCAGACTGCAGCACTCAGTAATGCAGCAAGTGAAGTAAAAATAATACAATAGGCCATAAACTACTAGCTGGGGTGTCAAGCTTGCTTTAATCTATTGAAACAATTACAACTTCTACCTTTTTTGGAGGGGCAGGTGAATAAGGAAGGAAATAATTTGCTTTTAATAAGGGTTTTGTGCAAAATTAAAAATATATTCTATTAGTTCAGAACGACAAGCTGCAAATTTGTTTACAAAGCTGTGAAGAGTATGATACCTGAATAATACCCAATAAACTATGAGGAACCAAATGCTCCTAAACATGAAATGATTACCTGGGGGATGGTAAAATAGTCATTTTCCTCTGTCATAACTGGATCTCCTTGTCTGTAACCAGTAAAAAGTCTCCCAGGAGACACTTGCAAAGGGATCTTAAATGAAGCATCTCTGGGTGTAGAACTGCATAATTTAAAAAGAAAACAATACTTCACTCCCTACATCACAAATTGTAAATGTCAAGTCTTTTCTCATACAGTATCACTCCATGTGTATTTAAAGTTCACATCTTAAAATTCTGATTTCAAAATAACTTGTTATAAGCGATAGTTTCATTAGCATAACTACTACATGTGTTCAAAAAATCTTTTTCCAGGACTTACATAGAGCCATGATAAAAGTAACCAAGAAATGGTGTATTGTCAAGAGAAGACTGTACACAAAGGAAAGGAAACCAATCAGGAGTATACTCCATTGACTTAGCAGAGCACAACTGATCAAAAGGTGGGTTTACATCCCCACCAAACACTCCAGTAAAACATGATCCAGTGAATAATTGCTTCAAGTCTGTTGTACATTCCTAAAATGGAAAAGAAAGGCAACCTTTAACACAGTTATTGCATTAACATAACCACAAAAGCCACAGCTACAGGTAATCAAAGCGATTTTATAGAGAAAGATAGTATTTCTTAATAGGAAAACTGGAAAACTCAGACAACCGCCCTATTAAGTATGAAATATTTGGTACCTCTCTTTTACTTCTTCCCCCTCCCCTCATCTTCCTCCCAGTAATAAGGAGGGAGAAATAATTCCTCAAAGTTTAATATGAAATTAGTACCTGATCACAGCAACAACGAACATCGCAAGCTCCAGCTGTCAAATCACAAGGACAAGGACCTAAGGGCTGAAACACCTGGTTAGGGATGATAGTTGCATTTTCTATTAAAAAAAATACAAAAAAAGAACAGGAAAAAGTCAAACTGCGCGCATTGGAATACCAGTAAACAGATCACAGGCATTAGAGGTTATTCTTACTGTATGCATATTTTTTGTTAAATTATGTCACCAACTATTCGGTCTTCATATTTGCTGCACAGATATCAATTTTTAACTTTTCATATGTAAAGGGGAAAAAACAGCTAGTGTACACTTTTTTACTTTAACACATTCAACTACTTACCTGACACGTTTCCTTTAACAGAAGAGTTTGCATATATTTCAGCTTGAATTAGGAGATGTGCCAACATCACCGAACCACGGCAAGCTAAAACCTGGAGAGTTTCAACCACGCAGAGAGGAGTTGTGCAGCAGTCAGTGGCATTGTGCAAACACAACTGGAGGTTTCTAGTCAGGCTTATGGTCACTTTGGAAACATCCTGAAAAACATCAGATAAAGCCTGACAATTTTGACAGTTTGCTTTAAATTACACTTGCGTATACCACACAAATTTCTGAAAGAGAAGTTTCAGCGCCACTGTGTAGTGTCAGTGTTACAATGCAGCATATATAAAAGGGGATATTTGCTGAGATTGGAATGAAAAAGGTCTGCCCTGAAATATGTAAATAAAGTGACTAAGTCATCTGTATCTATAACTTTTTAAGACATACACAAAAATCATGTTACCTCAGAAACCAAATGCACGGTACTAAAGAAAACAACATTAAAAAAGTGAATTTCCATTTTTATTTAGTACTTTCAACTGACAACTGGAATGACTAGAGAGTTGTTAAAAGCCTCAAAGACTTAGGCATAGAATAGTTAGGATGTTAATACATATTGATAATACAAAAATGAACATTTACAGAAAAAGAGGCATAGGTAGAACACAAACTGGGTGGCTAATCCACTGAAATTTTGCTAGCATTGTATTAGCCCTTAAGACGTAAGAGTCCAATTCCTCCCATATTAGGGAAGAATCTGTATCTTACATACCCCACCAGGCATTACATTCAAATTCCAATCACCAGCTCTTCTGCTTCCACTGCAATTTGAATGGTGCAGTTTTCCTATAGCAAAAAAACAATAATAACAGTTTCAGTAGCACTGAGGAGAGAAGGAAACAGGAGCAGGAAGCTTAAAATCATCTTCTGGCTTCCTTTAGGCAAAGCCTTCTGCCCATCCGACCCCACTTGTGTCACAGGAGGGCTGAGGGCTTCATCTGCCCATACCCTTTGGGGTTCCTACTCCAGCAACCAAGGAAGCGTGGCACGAATGCAACTATTTAATGTGCTGCTGTTCCTCTAGCAGTGTTTGCGAGAGAAAAAAAATCGAAAGTATTTATTTATATGCTATCAGGAAAAAAAAGAAGTGTTCTTACCTGTTTCTTCATTGATAGGGCTTAAAACTAATGAAAAATTAACTCCTGCAGCATTTCCAAGAAAGAGTGCGTTGACGCTGGGCCCGGACATGTGGATAAAGGAAGGCTGGAAGGCTGTGGATAAAGGAAAAAGGAGAAAAAGAGTTTTAGAGCACACAGTAACCGAGCAGGGTGACGTCCCTGCGATGTCCTCGGGTCTCACGCCCGGTCTAAGGCCCTGCCCTTCCACTGGTGCCCCGGGACGCACCCCCACCTCCCCGCAGCGAGGGACACGAGGGTTCGGATCTCGCGGCGGATGCGTGGGAGCAGCAGCAGGAGAAGGCTGCGTGGGACATCCCCCCTCCGCCACCCACCGGGCCCCCGATCCCGCT